CCCTTACTTCTTTCTCTTTTATCCTTCATCCCTAAACTTCATGAGTCATAAAAGTTAAAGTTTCTTCTGAATCTTGATGTCACAATGTAGAATTTTTTGTAACTTAAAAGAATTACAAAATAGTATGAGTGACCTCTGTGTGACTATTGCAAAGTTAATTATTTTCCAGATACTCCCCGCTCCCTGTCAAAGATCTAAAGTGATTCTAAAGAAAATTGTAAAAAATAATATCAATAATTTAGAGGTGAATGTACAAATCAAATATGTATTTTCCCAATTTTCTCCCTTCCCCCACAGACTTAAACTAATCTTAAAGAATCTACTGTTGCTCCTACTTTACCTTTCCTATAGATTTGTAGATTTTTACAAGTCTGTAAGGGACAAATATGAAGACAGTTTAAGTGTTATATGTATTACATTATATTACATTAATGCTAGTTTGTGTCTTTCTTTAGTTAAATCTGCTTTATTTCAGAGGATTGGTAATAGAGAATGCTGGGGCTGCAGGGCTGGTATGACCCAGGAAAAGGGCTGTCCCACATGTCTCTAGATTTTCTGGTCTCTAGACTTCTGTGTCAGAAGACAGCAGCTTAACAGTTATTGCGGTTGTTGACACTTTATGGGACTAGTATCTTAATAATGACCCAAATTATTTGATTGCTGTTATGTTGATACTGATCATTTATCATGAAATCATCTTTGGGCTATTAATAAATATTTATAAGACTGGTTTGTCTAGAACTTGAAAGCAACATCTTGAAAGGTTAAGTGCATATACTCATTAAAATCTTGATATGTAAAGTAGAGATCAAGCTCTTATTTTCAGAGTGTATGTTCTGAAGTATAGTTGGTGATAAAAATCCACATGCTATAAATTTGTATATCTACTAATATGCTTTATCTGTTCCTTCTAGGACTGATAAATATTAAGGTGGGATGAAAGGCATGTGTTAGATTTAGTCAAGGGGTGCTATAGAAATATTCAAGAAGGTTTGATCAGGCATGGAAATCCAGAAGAGAAACTAAGGCATAAGCCAGAGAAGTAAGTCCTAGGGATTTAAAGATTTTCAGTATCTGCCATTAGAAAAGCAGAGGCACTTAACTGTTTAGTACTTTTAAAAAGAGTGTTTGGTAGAATTGTTAAGGTTTTAGTGATACGCGTGGAAAGATTTCTCTCTGCCTCTGCACTGCTGGATTGATCATGCAGTTTCTCACATTTGATTAAACCTTGGCCTGGAGATACTATGTATTAGTTAAATGGGTATGTAAAGACAGGACTGTGAAGTCAACACTGAATTTGAAAGTTACGTGGGATTGCCATGGCACTTCCATGGGGGTTTCGAGCAGTGCCGAAGGAATTTTAAGGAAGTTATACCAAAACTTTTTACATACTTTGGTTGCTTTAAAATACATTATTATCCTGCCGCTAGTCACATCGTTACTGCAGTTCAGAGGTTCTCTGTTGGAAAGGCATTTGGGAATGTGTATAGGTATTTCCAGTCGTCAAAATGTTGGAGGCACTGCCAGTGTTGATTGCTCACAGCAATGTTAAGTGCCCATAAGGAAAGGGACAGTCTTGCTCAAGGAAGAATTAGCCAGTCCAAAATGCAGTGGTCCTCTGTTGAGAGACTCTGCCCAGGTCTGTCTTACTTCTTTTCTTTTAACACCCCTTGTTTTTGGTATAGTTGAATAAAGAATTAAGTTTTGAAAATATCATTTGAGGATTCACTGTCAGATTTACAGTGTTTTTGATATTTTAGGTATATAGCTTGACTATGTTGTGAGTCCAAGAGGGAGGAGGAAGAAATGAGGGTCTGATTTTTAGCAACTAGGATTTGGAAGTAAGAGGGAGGAGGCTCTACCCACACGGATACATGGTGAACCTTTAAGGAGAAGATGTTAAGATCTTTCTTTTCTCTGGAAAGAAATAATAAGTGCATTCTCATTTAGACAGAGAGGAAAAAGGTAATGTAGAAAGTCAGAGAAGATTATTAATTATGTAATAATCTGAATTATATTCTAACCTTTTTTATTAAGAAGAAGATGATAGCTTGGGCAACAAGGTGAGAGTTCATCTCTGCCCCCCACACAAAAAACATTAGCCGGGCATGGTGGCAACAGCCTGTAGTCTTAGTTACTTAGGACGCTGAGGTGGGAGGCTCACTTGAGCCCAGGAGTTTGAGGCTGCAGTGAGCTATGATTGTACCACTGCATTCCAGCCCGGGTGACAGAGTACTACCCCATCTCCAGAAAAAAACAAAACAACAATAACAACAAAAACAAAACCCTTGAGATTCATTGAATTAATAAATCAAAGAATACAATGTTTTAAGTACTATTTTAGTTGTTCAATATCAGATGTTAGGATATATCTCAGTTGTCTGAATTGTGCCTATGTACTAGCAATGACAAGAGGTGAGGAAAAGAAAAGAAGTGTTAAATAAAGAGGGAAAACATGAAAAGCAGATGGTAAGAAGAAGGCAGCATCTCAGAAAACAGCAGGTCCATCTTCCTATGCCTTTAGGACAGAAACCTCAGCGCCATCCCTGACTTCTTTCTTTCCTACCTAAGATCTAAACCTGCAGCACATCTTGGGTGCTCTTTTTAAAAAATGTATGTGGGATCCACACGTCTGCTCTACTGCCTGAGCCGCACCCACATTGTCTCCTGGTGAGACTGGGCATCAGCCTCCAACATCGCCTCTTCACTTGCCCCTCATGGACTGTGCACCAGCCACACTAGCCGCACCAGCCGCAGCTCCCTCTCCGCTTTCCCAGGCTCGCAGCTCTGTGAGGCTTCTCACTTTCGCTTCCACCTCCACCTCCATATAACGTTTCTCCCCATACTTTCCTGGCTCGAAGCTCTTCTCTTTCCTGGCTTTTGTGTAGACGCCTTCTCTGAGTCCTCTGACCACATTGTTGAATTTGCACACATAGAAGTAGAGACAGAGACTGTAATTCCTAGCTCCCTCTCCCTAACTCTTTCTTTTTTTCTAAAGCACTTTCATTTTCTAGCACGCCACATATTTTACTTATGTATTTGCTGTGGCTGTCCTCCCCAGAAGGGCAGGAATCTTCCTCCTTTCCACTGCTCAAGGGCAGTGCTTGACACTTAGTGGGTGCTCATGGGGAGTCAGGAGTAAAAAATTGGTGAGATGTAGTTAAGATGCATTAGCAGAAACCAAAATTATGAGACCTTGACTGAATTATCTTAAGCTCTTGTTAATTGAGGATGCTGGTGCTGTGCTTATTTTGGCAAAGGTGACCTGAGCAAGTTCACCAAAGGCAGCGCAGTGCCCTCTGCTCCTTGGGAGAAGCTTCATAAATGGTAGTGATGATGATACTGACAATTCTTGTGAGAGGGAAAAGGCAAACAAAGGGAAATAGGAAAGTTACTGCTCTTCCAAACATCTTTTATTAAAATGTTTGCATTTTTACTATAGATGTTTTTTGTTCTCTTCCTCAAAGAGAACTCCCCTGAGTCAGTGTTAATAAATGTACCCATAAAAGCTTAGTAAGAGGACAAGTGAAACCCCTGACAAGCACCTGGGGGAATATGGTGACATGCAGGGCCACCACGTGGAACTGGATAGTAGTCAGATGTGCACATCAGCGGGACCACTAACCTCATCACTGTTTAATACCAAAATAGACATTTTTAACTTGACAACAGTCTTAAGTCTTACAGAAGAGACTCGATTATGTTCAGTATGCAATGTTTACTAAGGTAGGACATGTAAATACAGATGAGAAAGATGCTCAGTATTAAAATGTAAAGGAATGGACTTCATGGGTTAACTTTCAGTTCTCTGGCTTTTTATTCTGAGTACTCACTTACCAAGAGTTTGTATTGGTTTGGCTAGCAGGGAGCTCTCTAACAAGACACAATGTCATGGAATTCATCATTTCGCCAATGAATAAAAGTAGTGCAGACAGCCAGCCCTAACTTAAATATAGTGCCTTTGATGATTAAGGATGATCAGGTGAGTGGTTAAATAGATCAAGAAAAGGCAAGAAAAACCCAACGATCCTTATTAAAAAGGGTAAAAATGTCAAAACAGTAGGCAGGCAATAGGAAGAATGTCACTAAATTATGTATTCCTTGGGTTAATAAGAGTTAGACCATAAAGTTACAATGTAAGCAGAGGCTTGTGGGTCGGGGAAGGAAAGATGTGCTAAGCAAGTGCATAAAGAAATAGAATTGTGCTTAATGGTGTGTGCATGTAAACATAAAGGAAATGTTTAGAACCGTACAGTGGAATTTCTACGTAACGTCTCATGATTTAATATAATGTCTCTTAAGGCATATGTTGCAGAAAGGACCATTTTCAGAGATTATTATTTAGAAACAAGTATGTTATATGCATTTACAAGAAATAATTTTGTCTTCTTATTTTGCTATGCTATGAATACATTGAACACAGGTTTTTTTTTTTTTTTTTTTTTTAAAGGGACAATGCAGCTGTTTCCAAACATCTTTTATTAAAACATTTGTATTTTACTGCCAGTTTTTTGTTCTTTTCCTCAGAGAGAACTCCCAGTGGCCAATGTTAGTAAATTAACCTTTCTAATTCAGGAGCTTGAACAACGATAATGTAATGGGCTCTAATGGTGTTTACATTCAACACAGTATTGGTGAAAGTAAAAGGACACTTATATTGCATAATAAGGTACTCAATAATGCTTTGCATTTTAATTAACAAAGCTAATATATTTTTTCTTAGGAATGATGCACTTCCAAAGCAAAGATTTGATGTCATCCTAACGAGTCTACTTTCGATTGTAGAGTACAGTGAAGCCCTAATAAAGAGGAGTAAGACATTTATTTTACTGGAGATAATAAATCTGACAGGGGAGCTCTCAGCATAGATTGAAGTTGATTTGGCATAGAGTTGCTTTACGAATAGCCCTTTGAGCAAACTCTACAGTTCTGTATGTGGTTTTAAATCCCTGTACATTTGTAGGCAGGTACATATTACAATTGTCTGTTTTTCTTTTTAGGGTTCATGTAATCAAAGAAGTTTCTTTGTTGTGTGTATCTTTACAGAACACAACAGGAATTGAAAATGAATCAGGTGAGTTTAAAAATCAGAATTTATGCAAATACGTGACCTAGATGTTAGACCAGCTCTTGATTTTTACCAGATAGTAACACACACATTAATTTCTCCTGGATTCTCATTTTTATTTCTTAAAACCATTAATTAGTTCATTGCGTTCATACTGTGCATTTGTTCGTGCAGTGGAATGTGCATTGTTTGGGCGTGGGTTGGCATTTCTGTGGTTCTCTGAGTAGAGGACTCATTCTTAGGGATTTTCATTAAGACTTTCTTTTTGACCTCCCCCTTGCCACACTCTAGTGTGAGTTTTTTTTGTGTGTGTTTGTTTTGAAGTTTATTAAGGTTTCATTTTTAGCATTTTTTTTATTTTGTGATTATCTGCTGGTTGAAAAGAGAGGATTAAAAGTTATTTATAGAGACTGCAAATGATCAAAGAAGAACCTTTAAGGATTTTGTCCTTGAAAAACCTGTTCTCAGAATAAAAACAAGAGGGCAGATATTGAAATGTAAGATGTGTTTCTCTTTACAGGAGATGTGGGATTACCTGATGATTAAATTACTCTGCTGTGGATATTTCCATAGCCTCAAGGGTGTTCCGATAAGTAGAACCAGTTATGTGAATCTAATAATATATTCTAGGGTAGGATTCTTATTTTCTGGTTTCAATATCATCTCACTTGTAGTTATAGAAATTCGTGGGTGTCAGAAATGTTCTTTTTAAAATCTTCATAAGTAGTTATTTTTAAAATATGAAGGACAAAACCAAAAATATGAAGAATGTAAATTTTTTTTTAGTCCTTAGCTTAAAATTCTCAGACTTGAAAACATTTTGTATCCATCATCAACTGAAACTTTGGACACCTTTTTTATCATTTACAGGTGATTCTAAGTAGAGATCACAAGTCCAATTTAATTAGCGGGCCAAGTTTGATAAATTCAGTCCTGTGTTGCATTGAGAGATGTGAAATTTTTGGAATGGATTCTTTTGATTTCTTTTTCATTAGTTTCTTTATCAGAAATGTTTATTTTAATGCAGAGGACATATAATATAAAAATCCGAATCTGGCGAACACATGGGACACATGCTTTCTATTATTTTAAAGCCTGCAGATTTATTGACATGCTTTTGAAGGCAAATTATTTTTGAAATGGTGAGGTGGGGGAGGAAAAAGAATAGAGTGGATTTCCACAGTCATGATCCATCAAAGTTATACACATATGTTTCATAGATTTTATTTACCTTCCTATTTTAAGATTGATTCTTAATATGAACCTGGTCACCCAAAGGAGCTTGCTTTTCTGCTGTCTAGGAACTGTTTTATTAGAGGAGTCTTGATTCTGCGTTAGAATGGTTATGAGTTCTTCCAAAATGGAATCTAAACGTTGATATTGTTCTTGTTGCATCACTGTTAAGAAATCATTTATCTGATGTGCCTACTACACCTTTAACCTTAGGATAATCATGCCTTAATTCTTGTACAGTATTAGGCTTATAATATTTCTAGTGTGTTAGACTTGACACTTCAAACTTTTGCTGTATATTTCAATGATATCAAACAAACTTCTGGTTAAAAAAGGCTGCATGCCATTCAAAAAGTTGTAGCAATAACTACTTCTTTTTCTTGGCTCTTTGACAATTTCATTTTGCTTTCGACAAGTTTTAATATCAGACCTGCAGAAGACTGCCTTTGATGCCAGATGCCAAGTTATCAGTGGAAAAGTGTCCTCTTATGTTTCTAATGGTTAACACATTTCTGATTTGGGTGTAATTTAAATGGTCTGGTAGTAATGAAACTTTTATTTGGATTATAAAAATTGTCCTCTTTTTATGAGTAAAATTTTTAGCATCTTTTTGTATATTTTCATTATTAGAAGAATATTAGTTATATGCTGTTTAGACCTGATTGTTAGGGCATAAAATCTATCAGTATTTTTCAATAATCACCCCAGTCATTTTTAAGGTTTGTGACTTATTTCAGAATAATGTATGGTTTTCCCTTCTCGTATTTATTCCTCTCATTTTCTTCTAGTAAATATGAGCAGTGAATGCTTGAAAAACTGAAAAATAACTCCACACAACAAAATTCAGATATAAAAAAGTTTGAACTTGAAGAAGATTGACTTATAAATAAAATCCTGATGGTTATTTTAGGATTAGGTTGTTCGCTCTGGGGACGGATCAGCATTGCTTTGATGGATTTTAGTTGTCAGTTCTGTTTCTTCTGATGGGTATGGTCTCTTAGACAATTGCATATAATAATTTGTTTATATATGCCTGGCAGTTGAGCTTCAGGGACTACAGGATCCTAGGTATGGGCATGTCATATGGTTTGTTATCAGTTCCTTTAGAAGAAGCAATCGAGTCCAAAGCCTGCCAGTATTCTAAGCACTGACTCTTGAGGCGGCATTCTGAACTGTTACACTCAGTTGTATCAGTGTGTTACAAGTCGGTCCTAGTGTGATAGCTCCCTCTGAGCCCACTCCTGGGGCTCCACAAAGCTCCCCGACCCACATATTCTTTGTCTTTCTTTCTCTTCCCCTCTGTTCTTCACTTAAAACTTACCCCTTTCTTAATATGTCTTATCCTCTCAATTAGAGCCAACTTGCTTTGCATGTGAGTCTTGGATCCTTCCACTTGAGCCCATGCCTGGGTGGCAGCTAGAGCAGTAGTCATTGTGCCTCCTCCCCTGGCTCTCCGTGATCCCTTCTCTCTGTTCTCAGATCATAGGTCTCCTGCTTGCTTCATTAACATTCCACACCCATCCTGATACTTAACTTTTGAGATGTTCTGCTGGTTTCCTTATTTTCCTAGACTTATCTAGGAATGGCTTTATCTCAGGAATAGGTCCGTTTTCTCAGTTGTCCCTAACATTCATTCATTCCTTCCCTCATTCATCGTGCACAGACTGTACCCCAGCATGTTATAGGTTCTGCAGTGAACTAGGTAGGCAAGGGCTCTGCCAGTAACATACTCAAAGAGGGAGACAGTTAAAAAGGAGGAAGACAAGCAAGGTAATTTCAGATAGTGAAAAGTGCTGTGAAGACAATTCAACCAGATTTGGTTATAAAGGATGATGGGTGGAGGTGGAAAGAGGTCTTTGGATTACATGGTCGGAGAAGGCTACTCTGTGGAGGTGATTGCTAGTAGAACTGAGACTCAGGTAATAACCAGGAACCAGACAGACACATGAAGATCTGGGGAAAGAAAATTCTAGGCAGAGTAAACACACAGTGGTACAGAGGCCCTGACGTGGAAATGAGGTTGTTTGTTCAAGGAACAGAGAGCAAGCCAGGGTCTGGAGCTTGGCCCTGTCATGGACTCTGGGATACGAGGACATTGGCGTGAGAGGCAAGGTTCATAGGGCCTTTAGGGTTACTGGACAGTGACACAAGCTGATTGCCATTTTTAGAACGTCCTTCCCACTGTGGTATGGAGACTGGATCGTAAGGGAGCAAGAGTGTGGTGATAGGTGTGTTCACTATTGAGATTAACACCATGCTTGAGGACAGTTTCTTCAGTTGGACAACTTAATGGACTTTTTGAAAGAGGGTACTTTGTTATATTTCAGAACTAATTTGACTGCTGTTCTTTTTCAAAAATGGTGTATAAGCATTTCTTGTTTTGTGTTTTCATCTGTTTATTGTTATAGCAGTCCTGCTTATTCATTAACCAAATATAATTTAATGCTATTTCAGTAAACTGAAGCTTGTTTGATTTTTTTTTTCCCATCGTTTGTTCCAGGATAGTAGCTTAGATTCTTGTTTGCAAATCTATTACAAAGATGAGTTGTTCATAGAATTTTAGAGATTTTCAGCTCTAAACTTAGAGATTAAACTGATGATTCTAAGCTGTTTTTCTGCTTGTAATAATTACTTTGGTAATTATTATTAGTCTGTTATAGCAATAATATATATTTTAGTATGAATATACTATCAAGGGTTCTTAATATTAAGGAAAATTGAGTCTAGTCTATTCCTTCACATATTGCTGTCATTTTCCAGTTAGTTTTGATCAATCAATATTTAAGAAACTAGGTGCTTTAATTAAATAAATTAAGCTGATATAATACTTTCTGATAATTCTCTGGGCAAAGCATATAAAAGGAGTTACTTATATGAATTTAAATGAAACACCAGTAACACTTGCTTATTCTTATATATATTTAAACATAAAAAATTAGTATATGTTGACCATGGAAAATGGTGCATGCAGCTTTATGTAACAGCAGCCAATGCCAATGTTATGCCCTAGAGCAGAGTTACCTTGCTGTTGGCAGTGAACATTTGTCTAAAGAGTGTGGAGAGAGGGGCTGGAGAGGGAGAGTGGAGGAGGTTGGTTCTGTGGTTCACATGCCTGGCACAGAGCTGAGGAGGGCGGAGTAAATGGTCAAAGAAGTGTGGACTCAGCCCTGGGGTTGCTAGAAAGACCAGAGTAGACTTTGCCAGTGAGGTAGGGAACCTTTGTAGGGTTTTGAGCCGAGGACTGTTAGAATTGAGTTAAAGAATTCTTAATAAATACAAATAGTTAAGGTATTCTACAGGGCAGAATCAGGACTTGGTTACTGGCTGGAAACAACAATACTAAAAAGTAATAACTTACAATGTTTCCTATGTGTCAGGCACAAGCTAAGAGCTTTCCGTTCAGTCAGACATTTACTGTTGACTGCAACCACATTGCGTACCATTACTATCCCTATTTAACAGGTAAGAAAGTGAACACAATCGAAAATGTTATTTTCTATTGCATTGGTATGTTTGTCCTTTATTTTCTTGGTGCATTAAAGTTTCATTTTAACATGATTTAAAGATGAGAGTTTAGATTTATTGACCTGTTTAGTTATTTGATTTTAAAAATCAATTTTGAGGTATAGTCTGCATAGAGTAAAAGGTAACTGTTTTAACTGAACAGTCCAAGTTTCACTCTTACCACTGTCGAGTCATAGGACATGCCTATCACCCCAAGAAGTTATTTTCTGCTGCTCTGAAGTTAGTCTTTCCCTGCCTAAGGTCTGTAC